TAATATGCAAGTGAAACTTTAATCAGTGATTCAATTCATCACCCTATATTCGATTTTCAAGTATTATTATGCAATGCACCTTATTCGGACATGAAAGTAAATGAAGCGTATTACGATTTCTCTAACGGTGACTACGATGTCATAAACTGTTTTCTTTTACAAATTAATTGGCAAGAACTGTTTTCGGACTCTGATCTAAATGTATGTCTTAACAAATTCTATGGGATTATAAATGAATCTATGCACAAGTGGATCCCTGTCAAATACTTTAAGACATCGTGTTTTCCCAAATGGTTTTCTAATGAACTGAAAAACCTTATTTATTCTAAAAACAGACTGCATAAACTTTATAAGATAAGTGGCGATCTAAATATATATGACGAATTTTCTAGACTCAGGAGGTTATGTAAATTAAAAATAACAGAATGTTACAATTTATATATATCAAAAATGGAAACTGAAATCAATTCTAACTGTAACTCTTTTTGGAAATTCTGGAAAGAGAAAAATAACATGAACGGTCTTCCAAATACTATGAAATATAACAATGAAACATCAGTTGATTCAATGAGTGCATCGAATTTATTTAAAATAGTTTATAGGAATTCGCAAATCAGTGTTGATTATTCGAATATACAAGTTAACTGCTTAACAGACTTTAACTTAAGAATGTTTTCGTTAAATGAAATATTCGATGCTATTCTTAGTTTAAAGCCTACCAATAATGTAGGACCTGATGAAATTTCAACAAGATTTCTGGTTTCTTGTATATTTAGTATTTCTATACCAATACATCTTTTGTACAATTTATTCCTTTCTTCTGGGGTGGTTCCGAACATCTGGAAAGAAAGTTTATTGGTTCCTATTTTTAAATCTGGAAACAGAGAACTGATCACAAACTATAGAGGGGTATGTATTCAGTCGGTTATTCCCAAGCTTTTAGACAAACTAATATCTAACCAGCTAAAATTATCATGCAAGCATATTATTCATACTCGGCAACCGGATTTTGTCAAGGAAGATCCACTACAACCAATTTAATATTATATCAAGATTACATTGTCAATGCTTTTGAAAAAGGATTTCAGGTTGACTCCATCTATGAAGATTTATCCAAGGCATTTGATAGAGTGAATCACAATATTTTGTTATATAAATTAAAGCTAATGAATTTTGGGTCCAGATTCCTTAAATGGATTGAAAGTTTTATTAACAATAGGAAACAGTTCGTTAAAATAGGAAATTCTGACTCTGATCCGGTTGTAGTTTGTTCAGGTGTGCCACAAGGCTCGCATTGTGGTCCACTTTTATTCTTATTGTTTATAAATGATATTTTATGCTGTTAAATTTTCAGAAATACTTCTTTTCGCGGATGATTTAAAGGTATAGAAAGTAATTAAGAATTTAGATGACTGCTTGTTGTTACAAAGGGATTTGGATAATATTTTTCAGTGGTGTTGTTCTTATGATATGGGTATTAATTTTGATAAATGTTACAAAATTTCTTTCGGTAAACTGAATTTATTTCTTGACTTTACTTATAACATAGATAATGTAAATATGGCACCAGTCTCGGAAATAAAAAGGAGATGACAAGAATAATAGATAAAGAAAAGGGAGAGAAAAGAGGATCAAAAGATAAAGCAAATAACAAAGAAGGGAAAATATTGTGGGAGATAGTAGCAGAAATGGAATGGGAAATTTTGAATGGAAACAAGGAAGGAGATGAAGAAGGAGAATGAACGTACGTAGGGGCGAGAGGAGAATCAATTATAGATTATGGGATTGTCAACGAAGAGGCGTGGGAAGAAATAGAGAGTTTCAAAGTGGGGGAAAGGGTAGAATCAGACCACATGCCTCTAGAAATAAAAATCAAAGAGAGAAGACACGAAAGAAAAGAATTAGAAAAAAGAATATGGGATGAAGAGGGAATTCAAAGATACAGAAGTAGACTAGAAAAAAAGAAATTCGAAGTAAAAGAAGATATAGAAGCTATGATGGTGGAACTGAGCAACCTAATTGTAGAAGCTACGGAAAAAAGAAAGATATACATATGGCAAGGGAGGGATAATGGATGGAACGGAGAATGTAGTGAGTTGAAGAGAAAAGCAAGGGAAAAATTAAGAAAATGGAAGAAAAACAAGGGAAGGAAAGAAGAGTACCTAAAAGCAAGAGAGAATTATAGGAGAAAATGGGAAGAAAGAAAAAGAGAAAAACGAGAAGAAAAAGAGAAGACAATAAAGTCCCTGAAAACAGAAGAGCAAGTATGGAGATATATAAACAAGGAACGGAGAAGGAAGACTGAAATCAGCGGGAAAATCAAAATACATGAATGGAAAACACATTTCATGGAATTATTGGGAGGTTGTGAGGAAAAATGCTGCAAAATAACTAAAGGAATCACAACGACGGAAGAAATGTGGAGAGGTTCGGAAATAACAAAAGATGAAATAGAAAGACAGATTGGAAGACTGAAAAGAGGAAAGGCACCAGGAGGGGATGGAATCCAGAACGAAGCGTGGATGTTCGGGACAGAAGAAGTGAAAGAAAAGATATGGGAAGTGGTAAATGGAGTTTGGAAGGGAAAAGGGTTTCCTCGGCAGTGGAGAGAAGGTATAATAATCCCATTATTTAAAAAGGGACAAAAAAGTGATGTGAAGAACTACCGAGGGATTACCTTGCTCAATACGGCGTACAAGATATATGCAATGATACTCGATGAGAGGTTACGAAAGGAGATGGAAGCAAGGGGTATGTTACCAGACGGTCAGGCAGGGTTTAGGAAAGGAAGAGGTACTATGGACAATGTGTACATCCTACGGCATTTAGTGGAAAGAGAAATAAGGATAGAGGGTGGACGAATGTACGCATTGTTCATAGATTTCAAAGCAGCGTTTGATAGCGTGAATAGAGAGAAAATGTGGGAGTATTTGAGGAAAAAGGGAGTAGATGCATACTTGGTAACGAAAATGGAAGAAATATATGAAGAAACAGTAAATACGGTGAGAGTGAATGGAATAGAGAGTGAGAGTTTTTATACAAATAAAGGAGTAAGACAAGGATGCCCACTCAGCCCCGCATTGTTTGCAGCTTATCTAGGAGATATAGATGAAATGTTCAGAAAAGCACAGACAGGAGGGCAAAGAAAAGAGAAGAAATGAAAGCAATGATTAAAAGTTTGGAGAAGTATGTAAAAAAAAAGGAATTGGAAGTGAATGTGGAAAAAAACAAAAATGGTGGTGTTTGGGAAGAAAGTAAGAAAGGAGAAGGAAGAGTGGGCATGGAGAGGGAAGAAGATTGAACAGGTGAAAGAACTCCAGTACTTAGGATATACATTAAAGAGCAATAACTCAGATAGAGCGCATATTCAAGAAATGATCCAAAAAGGGAATAGTATGGGGAATAGGAGAGAGAAAGTTTGGACATGATTATAAGAGAAGAATAATGATGTTTGATAGTTTGGTCAAAAGTGTATTCATGTACGGAGCTGAGATTTGGGGATGGAGGGAATATGAAGAAATAGAGAGAGTGCAAGAAAAATACTTGAAATGGACATTGGGATTGGAAAAGTATACTCCGGGGTATATAGTGAGAGACGAAACAAAAAGGGAGAAAATGAGAGTGGAAGCGGGTAAAAGGGCGGTTGGATTTGAAGAGAAGTTCAATGAGAGAGGTGATTGCAAGATATTGCAAGAATGTTGGAAAGAAATAAGAAAGGAAGGGGGAAAACATGTTTGGAACGAAAGGGACAAGTATTATGAAGGAAAGGGATATGCATGTGAAGAAATAGAGAGAATGAGAGAAATGGGAAGGAGTATGAAAGAAGAGCTGAGTGTAAGAGGATGTAGATAAGCAAGAACGTAGATCGAGAATATCGGAGTCTAGATATAATGCAGACTATAGAAAAATAGTAAAGGATGAAGTACCAAAGTACACAGGGAGAGAGTATAAAGGAGAAAAGAATGATGGCGAGATTTAGGTGTGGAAATGAAGAGAAAGAGAATAATTTCTGGATGGATGAAACTGACAGAAGGTGTAGGATATGTTGGAGAGAGGGAGAAACAATAGAGCATATGCTGGAAGGATGTGAAGGATTGAGAGAATCGGAGGAAAGTAGGGAAGAAGTGCTAAATGAGGATGGAAGAGGACTGGACTGGATGAAAGAAGTATGGAAGATAAGGGAACTATGGCAAGGGGTGGACAAGCAGAAAGAATAGAATATTTATTATATAACACTCGAATTTTTATTTTATTGTTACTGATTTATCTGAGGTAGAGTAAGTTAATTTGTACCCCTACTGGGAATATTATTAAGCCTGTAAGGCAAATAATAAATTAATATTACTACTTCGTACTGCATCTTTGTTATTAATATTTCTCAAGTAGTTTTTTGTTCAACAAAGTAAAGGATATATTACTGGATAAACAGAAAGTATAAAAAAAATAAAAAATATCATCGGTAAATTCTTTTATTCAAATTATGCTTGAAAAATGGAAAGAAAACCGTTTCTAACAACCAAGAAATTTTTCTGCACTCCGTATATTACAGTTTCAAACATTTGCTTGTTATAGTATTAATTATTGAATATTATTATTTTGTGGTCATTAATTTACCAGTTGTCTTTGTTGAAGGATGTTGAAAAAGTCCAAATGGAGAAAACAAATTGGGTATAATTTGCTTAGTAATGTGTCGTATTTCTGGTGCAGAAAACATATGCCGAACATTATCTTAACCGTTAGTTCCTCAATAAATAATTTTAATCTCGGTGTTGGCGAATAGAAAACTTAGACAAGAATTTCGGGTAGCAGAAAATAATAACATTGTGTTTCCTAAGCCATGAACAAAACGGGGAAGGGACTGAAAAACTCATTCTTTGTGAATGCAAAAACTTTATTTTAACTGTGTGACCGTGCAAAAACAATCAACTTAATACTGTGCTACCATTTGCCTTGTTGCAGATGAGGTTGCAAAATAAAACTTTTCTAATTTGTGCAAACTTTTAGGTTTTCTTGTAAACTTCTCTGCCGTATCGGGGTTGTAGCTCTCTGTTGTTAAAATAAACTCGACGATTTTGTTGGTCCATAATGTTTATCAGTGAAAAGTACTACGAAAAACTAAATTTACTACTGATTCTTATTCATACCGTTACCTATTACCTGGTAAATTGAAATGAATGAAGGCCGTGGAAACACCAAGAAAGTTACAATTTCGTCGCAGTATGGTTTTGTGACAGATCCATGATAGCGGTAGAATCTTTTTGTATGTCTAGGTAGATAATGTGCAAGAGTTATTTTCTTTTCCAAAGAAACGGGCTGCTGTCTTTTATTTTTAATTTGGGGGATACTTCTAATCAAATTATTAAAAATGGGATTATGCTTATGCAATGATAACTAAAAAAATTTAAATAAACCAATTATTACCAATTGTTAGGTTTGGAACTATGTACAAACCCCGTAAAATGAAACAAGAATAATAAACCCATCTTCATGAGGAATTGCATCTCCGACGCTTCCGTATTTTGAATTATAAAAGATCATAGCAAGTTCCAGAGGATATCTTTAAGAAAATTTGTTTCGTTCGTTTCTCAGTACAACTGAAATTTAAACTAACCTTCTAAAATTTACAACGTGTTCAGAAGGCCAACGAAACTGAAACTGAAGAAATGTGTAGTTGTCTTTTAATCCCCCTTGAGATATCTGTGGCTTCACCGACATATCGTCCAATAGAATTCCAACTTCAAATCAAACACGTTAATAGTTTGTCATTTTTAACATAGGTATAATACACCTGTATAATCGTCATTCACAATTTTTGCTGGATAACTAGCATAAAATTTATCATCAAACTGTAGATCGTTGTAGCTTACAGGCGTAGTCTTCTTGTCCGTGATCCATATAGGCGCTTGTCTTTTCCCATTTTTGCAATAAGTTTCAGGCCAGTTAGCTAAAAATACAACTATATTTCTTTATCGAGCAGATAACGTGTGCGCAAGAATTATATGAAGTCGACTTTCCGGCAAGGGTTGACTATTCTCAGTGGTTTTTGGTCACATTTGATGACCATGCCTATTGGAGAAGACTTTTTTTACAGACGAAACCTGATTTTGTTTGTGTGGCTAGATTAATTCTCAAAAAATAACTATTCAACGAAAGATAGTGGGGCCTTTATTATTGGAAGATAATCGCGACACATTTTTTTCATTAAAAATATCTTATTTAAAAGTGTCCCACATTTTTGCTTTTATACCGGGTGTCCCGGCGTACCCGTTCCACTCAAATATCTCAATTATTTTAGAATATAAAAAATTGAATTTGGTATGTACAAAATCTTTCTTAGCACAATGTTCTGGATTGTCTTCTATCTCCCCTACACTCTCCGTAAATAACTATCATATCTAACTTTTTGGCATTGATGAATCTTTCGTTTTCCATTTTTTGACAAAACAATGTTTATTTATTTTAATCCAGAAGGAACAAGCCAGAACACGAAAACAAGAGGAAACGTTGCATTTTTTTTTTTAATTCACAAGCGTTTTAAAGCTTCTCGATAAATTCTGTTATACCGAGTCATATATCACTGAAAAGAGAAAAAATTCTTTCGTTTATAACACTACAGATTATATTCTTTTAGATTCAGAAAAAAAAGTCGATTAAACTGAAGCTAATACGATGCCATTTAATAGATTGCATTGCATATCTTGAACATGCCTATGTTAAAATTTTTATGTTTTAAAATAATTGAAATATTTGAGGGGAACAGCAACGCTGAAACACCTGGTATATGTCATTTTTGGACATTTATCAGTGTGGTTTAAATACTGACATGTTAAATCCTTTCCAAAGATTACTTGATTACAAGCAATGTTGATCGCCCGATATAACAGTGGATAAACACTACACTGATTAGGATTACACAAAATTTGAAACCAGCATCAAATTAAAATAAGACAAAAATTATGAATAGGTCGTGAACTTTACAAGCCATTTTGTAAATTATGAGATGAATGTACAATGGTCCTGTATTAATTGTTAACTTACATTGGTTCCAATAATTCCAATCTATTGGGTTTTCTGAAAAACAATAAAAACTAGTAACTTACATATTCGTTTTTAATCAGATGTCAAATACAAAGTTGTTCTTACTATTATTCTTACCTGTCAGAGGGGTTTTTACTACTGGTTCGGCCATCGTCATTTTGTTTAACAAAAAAATACCTAAGAGTGAGAAATAATTAGTTTTTTTCTTTAATAATAATATTAATAATAACAATATATTTAGACTAAACATCCCAAACGCTTAAGTTTAAAATGCAATATAAATCTCCAGAATTGAAACTTATAAATTCACAGTAAATAAAATGCTTACGTTTCTTGTGTTTGTGTATTATTATTACTATATTGTTAATGATGACTCACGAAAATTTAAAACTGTAGTTATTCTTATGGCTCTTCCTTGTTTATATTTTAAATAATCTACGACTTATGACGAAATGACCTCAAGCTAGTAAATCGTAGGGCGTATACAACAAAGTACTTCAATTTATTAAATCTTGGTGGTAATATGTTTTTACAATGCATACTCAAACGCCGCCCCGGTGTAACGTCGATAGCTTTTCTAGTATGTGCGGAGATGACAGGCGACTCATTCATCATCGGTGACGGCGGCGTTCGAATAAAGAAAACCCTAGAAGCGTTTTGCAGGAAGTCTCGATGGCAGACGCCGTTTTAATTACCGATCATCGTAACAATATCATACTCCGTCCAGGAACTATCTCAGTTTTGAAGCAATATCACATAAATTGGAAAGAAGCAAATTTTCGCGGGCCGGATAGACTCATCATATTTTGCACATTTAAGATATGATTTATTCAGCAATATTTTATTAGCTTTTTTCCCCTAAATTTAGAAAAACACAGCGTCCGACGGCGTTTATTCAAGTAAAGTAGAAACATTAAATTTATTGTTTACAAGAGACTGTAGAAAAATATCGAACTTACCACTTTTCGCCACTATCTCTAAAGGAACTATTATTTTCTGAGCTGGTAGTTGACAAATTAAACTCGAATTTTGTTCAATTCTTAACATTTCTAATTCTTGATTTTATAGTCAGATTTTTAAACTGTATCTGCATTCCTTTTGAGTATGTGTTTTTTTTTTTTGTATTTATGGTCCTCATTAAAATTACTATTATTACTTATGATTTGTTCTTAGAGAGTGAAACTAGAAAAACTGGAGAACTGGAGACCTTAAAATTTATACTAAAATCATAAAAAAGTACTTTAAATAAGAAAGACGCTGCAAACATGCCTAGATAGAACTCTGTTTCGCCTAAAATACACAAAAATTAATGTTACTTACATGTTAAAAACACAAGGTAAAAACTACTCATATCTCAAAAAATGTTATGTACACAGGTGAGTAACAAAAATGCTATAGTTGTACTGTGTTACCTACCGTATTTATAAGATCGAAAATATTGGGTCATTTTAGTACCATATAATTAAAAAAAGTATTCCCTTATCTGTAGATAAAGTAAACGCACCTTTATCTACCATAGACATAAATACTGTCCATTACCTAAAATTTATACCTTATGTTAAAAAAAATGTGAAGAAATACAATGGGCAAAAAATGCTGATAAGCTTCTAGTGTAAAATGAAAAAAAAGAGCATATATTTCATTTAGTATTTTTGTATTTGAAAGTAAACCCAATTTTTTATTACCTATAAATTCTAAAAGAGGATAAAAATACTTCCATCGCCCTTATAGAGTACACTCAGATAGATTCAGCTTTTTTAGACAAATTATGAAATCTGATTGTGCGAATTTTCTTTATTTTTTATGATAACCCTTATAAATCAAGCTAAAGATAGTTATGAATTGTTAAGCTAAGGCTTACTGGATACGTTCGCAGTCTTTATTCAAAAATCTTGGAATTTGATCAGCCCCGGAAAGTAATAATTTTTTAATTTCTTAATAACCACAAATATTTCATTCTCGGATATTAATGAAATATCAATATTACAATTATTTTGATTTACACCGATATTTTGATACCTTTGTTCACCATCCGCAAAGTTCCCAGAAAAATATTGAGCAAAAATATTCACTATTAGCTGAGAATCATTTAATTCAGACCCTTTAAATTTCATATTAGCTGGAAGTCTTGTAGTATTCTTCTCTTTCCGAATATACGACCATAATTCCTTTGAATTGTTTATTATTGACACCTGGATCTTTATCAAGTAAGTAATGAAGTCTAAAATCTTCTGATGTTTTATCATGGCGGATGATGTTCATCCGAAGTTACAGGGGAAGAATCCACGGGCGTAACAGCCACATTTGTTACGTTGGATAATTCAAAATACTTCATTAAATTGAGTGAGATTTGTTTGTTTTCCACAAATCTAGTCATCCTAAGCACGTTAATGCACCATAAGTATCGAAGTTACTTTATAAAATTTACGTAGGATGTTGGGAAATTTTATTTAGTAAAAATGTTTGCCACTGCACTTTCAAGCCAAAATTCAAGGGCATGTCCTTACCCAACGGTTGGTTACTGTTGTTCTTGTCCGTTATGTGCATTTCTTACGGACGTTTCAAAAGCTGTCCTTACTATATGGTATACTGTGGCTTAATAATCCATTCATAATATTCTATTATTATTTTTACATAATATGATACATCAACCAACACCAACGCATTGGATGAACTAAAGTATGATACATACATGAATGTAGAAAAGGGGTTCTACAGGAATCTGAAATAAAATTCCATCGTGTTCATTTGCTTATCGGCGAAATAACCGTCCCGCAAAGAATTCGGCCATTAAGCACGTACAGATATATGTTGCTTGGCCGGAATAAGCGGCGGTGGCAGACAAAAAGTACATACGCATCTGTTTAAAAAGAAAATTTACTGTGACTGATTTTTTAAATTTGCATATACGGGGAGCCACAAAAAAATTAATGACTGACTCAATTGATTTTATTTATTAAATCAAGATTTGCAAAATTGAATATTTTTAAATCTTGTACACGTTTTGAAGTTATTGTAAGCATGCAAACATTTTAATCAAAATGGATCTGTTTATCAACCCCAAAAAATTGATTACGTCATCTCAAAATTTTGTCGCATAAATCCTTTCGAAAATGTGCAAAATATGATCAGACTATACTTGTAATATATCATTGCATTCATATTTTTTAGATCTGCTTATACAGGCCGACTCAAAAAAATTAATTAATCAATCAAGTTATTATTGATCAAATTACGAACGAGCCGTGACTTCCAGAGTGAAAGCGAATTTATTTATTTAATATCCCGTCACAGAACTCGAATGAGAAGAATCTATGATATAGTGGTTCCGGTGAGAGATTGGGATTTCTTGACAGTTGACATGTAAGTTGGCAGCAACCTAACACCATAAAATATACTGAAATTCCTACGCTGTTACTTACAGCTGGCTGTTACTGTCTATGTTACAAATGTAAAACTACTGAAAGTTCCATTACTAAGGTAAGCATATTGCTTACCCAGCGTTTTTACTTGGTTTCTCCGAGTTTTTGAGCGACTCTCACAATACGAACGCCTTTAGTAGTGCGACAATGATCTCCGATAAGTCTGTTTTACGTAAATTTTTTTGGTAATAACTCAATTAATTGCAATAATAGACCTCTGAAATTTGAAATGACAACTTAAAGACCAAAGATGGTATAAAATCAAAACCAGAACTCTCGTGAGAATTGCTCTCCAGTGGACACGTACCCTACAGATGAATGTTGAAACAATTTTCAGGAGAAGACAGAGGTATAACGATAATAGTCATCGTTCTTTGTTATTAACAGACACCACAAAAATTCTCGAGTAATGGAAAACTTATGTTTTGTAGCACTTAAGATTACAATGATTTTGAAATTTCAAATTTTCGCGCGGATGGTACACTTTTCTTCGCGTAGATTTAGTGACTTCTCTGTCACTCAATCTCTTACCGTACGCAGTATAGACATAAAGACACGGTTCTGAAAGCGAGGAAAGTACTGTCTAAACTGTTTAGACCAATTTTTTATTTAATTTTATTTAAAAGGTCTTCAACCTTGAAAGCAAAATTAAATTTACCGAATTTTTACGACGTATACCGAGAGGGGACGACGAAATTTTAATGAAAGCATCTGGCAACATTGTGCGTGAGCATGCGCATCATAACTAAATAGAATTTGTTGTGGCGTTCTGGCCGACGGCTGTTGGGATTAGGGATGGGCAGATTCGGTCATCACCACGAACGGATCGTTCATCGTTCGGTCCCTACGAAGACCCGGTCGTCAAATGTCGTTCATTTCGTTCATTTCGTTCACTTCGTTCACCGTTCACATCGTTCACCGTTCACTTCGTTCTTAATCATTCAAGGCTCAGGGATCTATTGATGAATCACTCGGTCTTTCGGCTCTTCGGTCAATGGTCTTAGTTTCCCTTTTGCTTGAATCCGATCACTTTATAGGGAAAGTCATGCTCAGAACTATAGCATAGGTATTCGAAAAAAAAATCCCGGCCCATTGCTGTCTTTTTTTCGAATACTGCATTGTGTGATACGTCAAATTAAATCGTTTGAAATATACTATGATCTGATTCGAAAAATTAATGATTTAACGTTTATTTGGTTTTGTCTACATTTAATTTTTTTTAATGCCTCCCATTTTTTTAGAGATTCATGTAACGATTTTTTTCTGAATTCTGTGATGTAAAAATAATAATTTAATTTTTAAAAAAAGTAACTTGAATTTGTGGACGCAAATAATTGTGTTAATAAATACATCAATAGCACTTTTGACACAAAAATTAAATTCGTTTTTATCACAGCTTCCAAGCAACTTTTGAGTAAAAAAAAATAATTTATTGGATCTTTCGAATCATTCGGTCGTCGCCCTTACGATTAACAATGTAGGAGCAGATTTGTTTTGTTTCCTTTTATACATTTTCCTTACGTTTTAATGTGATGAAGCCGTGAATAGTCACGTTCATTGACTATATTATACATTACCTTTTTTACGTGGCCATAGGGATTTTTTTTATTAATAATCATTACAATAGTAATAAAAATTGGTCTAAAGAGTTTAGACAGTACTTCCCTCGCTGTCGGAAACTTGACGACTGCATGCCTATTGTGTTTTTTTTTCTCATTACATTTTTGTAGTGGGA